TAGATACACTAAATATAAGTACATAAAAACCTAAACCATATAGATTTAAAAGATTATTCGTTTTCATTTTAAAATTAAATAAATCAAAATATAACAAAAATTGGACAAATAGGGTGACAGCTCTGTAGATGTTTAACTATTATTTAGAGTTATAAAAACATCACAGTAAATAATTGTAGTACTTAACAAAAACCGAATATTAAATGCTATTTTTATTCATAAAATAAAATAATCATTATTGTACACTTAATTGAGAAAATAGACTAAACTTGATTACCTATTATATTTACACTAAATTATTTGCCGTCATTTTATTTAATCTTGTTTATCAAATCACTAATTATAATATGCAGACCGCTTTCTATAATTGATAATTTTTATTGAGCTGATACAAAACAAATTGATAGGTCTATCATCATCAAACTTCACAATCATTAAAACAAGAGCCTTGAATTTAATTATCACTTTATCTAAATCTATAAATTGGCAATTAATTAAATAAATTTTGAAATTTAGTTATATTCAACAAGTTAGAATATACACAAAAAATTTTATTTCTAGTTATGGCGAATGCACATAATTTCAACAATAAAGTAGCCTTAATTACCGGTTAGTATCAATTGTATAGCATTGATATCTTTTAATTATAGTTAAACTCACCACATCTACAGTGTGTTTAATCATATCCTGTTAAAAGTCTATATTCAATAATACATTAAAGTAATGATAATATGTTTGGTATATTATTTAAGGCTCGAGTTCAGGCATCGGTGCGGCCATTGCTATACATTTGTCGAATTTGGGCGCACAAGTGGTGATCACCGGCAGAAACGCCGACAGATTAAAAGCCATTGCCGTTCAATGCGATCAGAAATCAACGCAAGGTTTAAAAGTTTGTATTCAAATAGTGTTTAAAATTTTTAATGAAATTTTTTGCTAATTATTTGAACAATTAATTTGTGACGAAACAAAAGGCGCTTCAAGTGATCGCCGATTTGGACGACGAGAATGACTGCAAACGACTGATCGACAAGACTATTGAAAGTTTCACCAAGATCGATGTACTCGTTAATAATGCGGCAGAGTTTAATCGCAACAGTAATATACAAAACGATGATGCTATACACATGTTTGACAAGGTTTGTTATAATTATAGATGCCTTAAATACACTTTTTGAAATTTTAATAACTATTGTAAATGCATAGTTTACCGCTATAGTTTAGCGAGATTAAATACAAATTTTCTAATATATTTTTTATATTTTATATTGTTTCTAGATGTTAATAAATAAATTTAATTACAGACAATGCGAACTAATTTGCGAAACACGTTTGTCTTAACACACTTTGCAGGTCTGATATAAAAATATATTTTACACGAAGACAACCAAGCATATAAAAATATAAATATATTTAATTATTTATTAGTTCCGCATATAATTAAAACGAAAGGATCTATTGTCAACATATCGAGCGTATCGGCTATTAAACCGGTCAATTGTGTTTCATTTTATAATTGTTTTGTATACCTCATTAAATTTTAACATGTTATTTTTATAAAATCTAGTTCGCAAACGCATTGGCACACTGTATGGCTAAGTGTGCTATCGATATGTTTACCCGAAGTCTAGCCTACGAATTGGGCCCTAAAGGAGTGCGAGTGAATGGCATTAAGTAAATAACATACACTGTACTGTATATACAGTTTGACCCACAGTTATAATGATCATCTTGGTTGTAAAAGCTAAACCAATTAAAAGGCTTAAGTTAATCAATTAAGTTTGATTAATATTCATTAAATAATTATTATTATCTAAATATATACTTTATAAAAACCATACATTTCTAATTATACGCTCATTCTTATAACGGGGTAATACTGTATACATAAAGTTACAATTAACATGCGATAGACCGTAACGTTTTATATAAATGTAAAACCCCACATTTAACCATGGTTTGCACAGT